TTCGACGTTGGGATCCTCAAAGAATCTTGGCTCCTCGAGAACGTGTATCGTCTACGATACGCTGCCACTTTAACGATTAGACAAGGGAACAGCCGATGGCGACTAAATGCGTTTCTGGAAGGCATCTCTCGGAGCTTCTGTAGAAGAAGTCGTGTCGTCTTTCGAAGGAAGAAACTCTTCGTCTTCCAGGAAGAAACTTTTGATTTCGTTCGAGATCATCGCTGGACAATAAAAGTGACATCGGTAAAGGAACGGGAGATAAAAAATAGATCGCATTATCTACCGACGGAGGGTAAAAAAAAAAAAAAGAAAAGAAAGAAAAATAAAAAAAAGATGTACGGGCCTCCCGATCGAAATAATATGCCGAGGACGTGTCCGGCCGCGAAACGGACCTCGCGCTTGACCACGGAACGGAGTACTTTTATGAGGGACGATTTATTTTCCAAACGACGCGATATGTCCGTGAAAGATGCGTCGCCCGTACGAATCCGCGCGTACGGTCTTTCACATATGCCCAATAATATAATATATAATATATAATATATAATATGCCTTTTCTCTCGTGTTTTCTCGCCTAACGTAATACCAACCGAGCGATTCGCCGCCTTCGCGATAGATATAGAATACATTAGAATACCAAATTTTCCAAATTTCGAGTAATTCACACTAGTCGTTCGCATCGGCGAACGCGCCAAACTAACTAGGCCATGAATAAAAGATGGGAAGAGGCAAGACGCGAACGAAAAAGCTACGATCTGTCTCTGGGTAGATATCTACGTATCCGAACGTATACATATTCATCGCGGTCGCTTTTCAAGAAGCACGAAAAAAAATTCATTTTCTATTCTACGCTCTTGCCGATCCAGATCTCTTCGCATTGTAAACTTTCGTTTTAATATGCACGTGTTTCCTAGGGAATATATGGAAAATACTTTTCCTCCGTTCTCCTTTCCTCGGATTCGTTCCTCTCGTATGAATCTACTTCAAAAATCACCTTCACATCGAAGGGAAGCGCGGATCGCGTTTAATGAAAAAGGAGCGAAATCTTTTCCGCATTAACGCTATCTTATACGCTTTACGCGCGAGTACCTGTTCACACAACGAATTTACACGCGAATCCTGTGGTTCGCGTGCGTAAGAATAATTACACGCGGACCGCGTATCGACTAGCGAGTACTTACACGTATACGCTTTTGCGTGCGACGCGTGAACAATGTACGCCCAGCTATGTTATCTACAGGTAATAACATACCTAAGCGTATATCTCATTGTCTATTGATTCTATAAATTTACAATTTGTAAGAAAAAACGATCGATTTCGTGCGATCTACGAGGAGCATCGATGAGTGCCTCGGTAAATTCTTCGTTATTATCAAGAAAAAGGAAATAAATAAATAAAGAAAATAAATATAAGACAAAACGAAATCGATCGAAAAAGCGTTTAATCGAGATACTTCTCTTGGAATCGATCTCGTCGTCTCTCGCGAGGCACGAAGGAGGCAAGAAAAATCGATGCCATGGAAACCGATGGAGTCATAAAATCAATCATAACGGAAAGGTTATAGCCGATTTTATCGCGATAACTGCACGCCGCGCGAATATATATCCTCGTCCAGTTAGAGCTTGAATTCCGTATTAATTAGGCAGCGCGACAAGGCGAAATTATGGAGGTACGGTAGATTCATTAAACCTTTAATAGTCGTTATAAAACTGGTGTTGTGTACGCTGGAGGACGCGCCTACTTTCCGTACGTCTAGTCAGAAAAGACGAGAAAAAAAGTGTTTTCGAAATAGTTTCCAACTCTCAAAGTACATTTTTTATATGAATATATAAAAAGGCATAAGCAAGTGTAAGAAAGAAGATGGAATCTACCTCTTTGTCAAGCCCTGCGGAATGGATATTACTAAGGATGTAGAATTTCGTCGGGGTGGCACGTAGAAAAAGGACATCACGACGGGTGACTAGAATCACCTCGGCCCGTCGATTCTATCTCGAGAGAGAGAGAGAGAGAGAGAGAGAGAGAGAGAGAGGGAGAATCCTACACGAGGAGGAGAGTTCAGGATGGGGGCACCCCCTTAGCGACTACGGCACGGATCTCGCGCCATTATTCAGAGGTATCGTGCTGCTGTTTCTACCGCTAGGAAAGTCGGCATAAAGCAGCCGTGAGGACGAACCTGGCCGCCCATCGTGCTCGCTTCGAATACCCGCGTAAAAATGACTTGTGTCAACGTGCGTTCACGGACCCCCTGCAGCTCCATCGCCACCACCTGGCCACTCAAGGATCTTGTTTTACAATGACCAAAGAAAAGAGAGAGAGAGAGAGAGAGAGAGAGAGCGAGAGATCTGGACCATGCGATACAAAAAGCCTTGCATTGTCATCGGTCTTACGATTTATTCGATCAACTTTATTTGTTAAAGTTAGTTTAGATAAATTATCCTAAAACCATCTTTCGTTTCGAGTTTGATTGCATGATTCTTGCATGCAATCCCAAGATAAAGGGGCCGACTTTAATAACTCCGTAAATAATCGGACGTTTCCCTTTCTTGCTCTCTCTCTCTTTCTCTCTCTCTCTCTCTCTCTCTCTCTCTCTCTCTCTCTCTCTCTCTCTCTCTCTCTCTCTCTCTCTCTCTGACACACACACGGGCGCGCACGCGGTCATCGATTCGAAAATGATTAGCGATAATGTCAAGGGAGTAGAGGAGGCACGTTCGCGATACGTCCGTGACTTCTCTCGTCCGATACACGATTCCACCTAATTGAAATAACCACAGAGTAGTGTGCCGAGAGAGTAAGAAAAGAGAACTTGCAATCGGCGAGGTGGACGATGATCTCGGAGAACGATCGTGGGCGATCCACGTCCGGCGATATCCCATCGAGATCGTCAAATGGATGCCTCCCGTCTTTCTATGTTTTCTCGGCAGCCTGCATTTCCGCTCGCACGTGCCGGTTCGTCGAGGGGATTACGAACCTTTCGCGTTGAACCTTTCCAATGACTCCTTCTCCTCTTTCGACCATTCCAAAGCTTCGAGCATTCGAAAGAGAACAAGAGAAAAAGAGAGAAACGATCGTACCAATGAAAGACCAAGAATCAAATCACTATCGTCCATACCCATCATTTGCCACTGCTCCTACCTTCGCAATCTTACTTTTTTCCATCTTCCATACTATTTTTGAACCGAAACTTTCCTTTCCGACAAAGACGTTCCCCGACTCTTGTATTCGAGTTATCGCTTTAAAAGCTAGAGAAAATTATTTAAAAAGCATTAAATTAGGAAAGGAGAGAAAGAGAGGGGGGAGGGGGAGAGAGAGAGAGAGAGAGAAAGGAATAGACGCATAGGGGAGTTCGAAGCTGATAGTAGATTTAATTGTAATGACCCGAGATATACTGAACGTGATCCGTACGATAAAAAAGGAATAAATCCTCGTAGGATTCCCACGTGAATCGTGACCGTAAACGAACGCTTTTACGGTCCACAGTCGATACGTCGCTCCATCATAGATATATCTACCTATGGCTTCCGGGGTAATCCTGAAGGACCTACCGAGCGAGAAAGAATAATAGACTATCATGATAAAATACAGAGACTACGATACCTGTCTTCTAAACTAACTCGCAAAATCTCTAATCTCTCGATGAACGTTCTCTATCTTCGTAACGTTCTAACAAATGTTCTTCGATGAAGACTCATTTTAGTATGGCCGCGGCATCTTCTGCTCCTGTAATTTATATTTAAAACGTATCTACAAAATTATTCACCTAGAGATCTTATTTAAATATTCACCGTATATTTGTACCCTTTGATTGCGGGATAGTAAACAGAAGTACGTGTTACATGGTATAAATATATTTATGCGAATAGTTTTTTTTTCCTTTTCTTTTTTCTTTTAATACGAATGTGTCTACATATTCCGACACAGTACAGTGCTAATAAATGCAATTATCTCCAACTGGATTCATAGTGTAAAAGTCATTAAAAGATTTCTCATGTAATACTTGTTTTAAGAATTAGTAACTTAACGTGTGTCTATCGTGACTTACCGCACGATTTTAATATGATAGCTGATAGTCCTTCGAATAGGAGTAATAACGTACCATGTCCTTCAACGATAACCGATCGTATGTATCTCCGTCTTTTTAATTACGACGCAGTACGACGATGTAAAGTACGCAGTACATAAAATCGAAAAACGATGGAAAAAGATGAATGGTTTATAGTAAAAACTATACACAGTTCGCTAATATCTTAGACATGTGCACAGTTCATACATCTGATTGATAAAATATCATTAATCTTATAAGATAAGAGTACTGTAAATTTTCTGTCGTCGCTTATTTATATGATAACACATAACGATAATCTGCAATATATTAAAAAATAGGTTCGCATCGCTCAAATGTAATTTAAATTGTCCAAGAGTTGGAGAAGTTTGGCGACCAAACTTAGCTGCCATACGCGAATCGTCTAGAACAATTTTCTGATGTTATCGTTTGCTTGTATATTGTTTCTTTAATACGTCAGATACGGCAGATATATATTTTAATAACGTACTTATATGCAAGAGAATCGGAGCGTCTCTTAGCGTTTCCTTTCTTCTTCCGATGCCCATGTGCGCAAGGCCGAATCGACTCGTTCTTTAAACTTTTTGACGTTCGTCCGAAGAGATCGTCGATGCTATGATTCGCTACGATTCCCTCATACTATGCCAACAGATATCTTACAGACTCTTTATAAAACTTTAAATACCGGCGTTCATCTTTAAAAAATAAACCATTGAGTTTGAAAATATTGTCAAACGAATAATAACATGATGGATTTTATAATAAGTTTTTTAAATTCTGACTCTGTGTAATACCTTGCACTTTTTACCAATACATCAACTTGATAGCACCAATCGTAAGATAAAACAAGGATTGGCATATCTATATTAGTTAATGATTTTTATCAAACTTTTTCTCAAAAGTCGAGGATGTTAAAGGTGCAGGTATATATATATATAATTTTTTTTTTATTTTTTTTTTTTTTTTTTTTTTTTTTTTCCCAAAATAAAAAGCAAAAAAGAGAAGAAAATATGTTCTTTGTGCTATGCATCTCAACAAGGATTATCCGATCTTGTCGATTAATTGTTAATTTTATTTGAAGAAGAAAAAAAGAGAGAAAAAAAGAAACAAAAAGAAAAAAAGAAAAAAAAAAATAAGGCCAAGACATAAGATTATTTTATGGAATGTATACACAGATGAAAATAGTCAAATGTAGGAAACGCATAGGCAAACCGCAGTTGTCGCGCTCATATAAGCGGCTTCTAATACGCCCCTCCAATGAATACTCCTTTCTACGTCGTAGAGACGTTAGATTTCCTCCTATCGTTAATCTACTACAGAGGAGATAATCACCTGATACATTTTAATGTTGTTACTTCATAGTCAGGGACACTGTATTGCAAAATCAGTAAAATGCTTTACAAAAGCATACACCTTCTTTTCTTCACCGGTTCTGGAGGCTCCAATGCTGCCAATATAGCTTCGTCGAATACATTTTTTAAACCTTTCTAAAATAAACATTTAAAGAGATCGGTACGTGCAACGTGGAAAATTCATACAACATAAATTCGACTTATTTGCAAATAGATATACCTGTGTCAGAGCGCTACATTCTACGTATTTCACAGCTTTTAGCTCTTTCGCAAGTTTCTCTCCTTGTTCCGCTGAAATAGGTTTCTGCTTATTTTTTGCAAGCTTCTCTATAGTAGCAACATCATCTCGTAAATCAATCTGAGTACCAACTAGGAGAAACGGAGTCCTTTGACAATGATGAGTTATTTCTGGAACCCACTGTAACAATTGTTTCAATTCAATGTCCTAAACGTTATACGTTGTTTAAAATGCGAATATACATTTTGTAATAGTCACCTTTTCTTTAACATTTTCAAATGACGACGGTGAAACGACTGAGAAACAGACCAGAAATACGTCTGTTTGCGGATAACTTAAAGGTCTAAGTCTATCGTAATCCTCCTGGCCTGTGATATAATTTTAATTCAACGTATATTTAAACCGTCCAAATAATGTTGCTTATAACGTTTACTAACTAATAAAATCATTCGTTGTCCTTACCAGCGGTATCAAATAATCCTAACGTATATGGATCACCGCCTATCATTACCGTTACAGCATAGTTGTCGAAAACAGTAGGCACATATTCTGAAGGAAATTTATTTGTCGTATATGAAATCAAAAGACAAGTCTTTCCCACAGCTCCATCTCCGACCACAACACACTTTATTGTCTGCATCTTACTCTCTGCTCTCTATTTCCTAAAACATTGTCGTATAAACCTTTTGTTATGAAGATTCTGGCAAATGCTGTTTTTCGAATGCTTATATACTTTATAAGAAATAATAAACTTATTAAAAAATATTAACGTTACACCAATCTAAATATTACATAGCGAGCGCAATAATATCGTTGCAAAAGTCATTGCTCTATGATTATTGAGTAAAATCTAACGAAACTATTGAAAATGCTAAAATCCACCAACGAGTGGATCTTAACCTAAACTCAACATACATATGTATGTGTCGTGTCAAAGTAACGAAGATTTTCTAAAGAATTTTCACGAATTCAAACACAATACGAATAGTGCGAAATATACGAATCGTTGTCGTAATTAAACTAGCAAAAATATACAAATTATAAACGCAACTTAAAATGTGTTGATAAAAATGTACAATGAATGACTTACCTAGTATTATACTATCGCCATTAAAGATTAAGACCACAAGCTTCGAATATACGTCAAGAAAACTAAAAGATGTGTGCATTTAACGCAACAGATCTTTTTTTTTTCTTTTAATTCTTCCCACTTATCATAACAGTCTCAACACTTGTAACTTTTACGGGTTCACTGCCTCAAAAGTAAAATTTATTACAGGCTTGAAAACTCCCAATTTTCCTTTCGACTATACGCCCGCGTGATATTTGAAATTTTTCAAATCTTATCTACGCGATTTATACAAAATTATTAGTTACGTCCGAATATATTACTTTTCTTCAATTGCCAAAGCGGCCCAAAGTATTTTTTACAATTTTTATCTTTGAACGATAGAAATGCTTCGTTAACAAGTAACGTTATAAACGAACATAACCAAAATAACATTTTAAATTCAATAGATGGCAACACTGTTGTTAAACTACTGTAACTAGAACTGCTAAAAGAGAAAGATGATTAAAACGTAATGGAATGTAATTGAACCTTTTTTTATATTGCTCGAGTGTGTTATAATGCCTTTTTAAAGCATTATTAGTTTTCTATTACATGACATAATGGATATATCAATAGGAATAAATGATAAACGCGCGATAAAAGTGACAGTACCACCTCTTAATTCTAGTAATTTGATCCCTATATATATATATATATATATATATATATATATAATTATTTACAAATTAATCTCGTCTATAACTTATTATCATTTATAATTTACTGTATTGTAGACAAATATTCATTCGTATGATTTAATCTAAAACCGATACCATTATTCACAGCGGAGTCACCATTTTCAAAATCGTTAAAAGGAAAAAATTTAACTGGAACTCTTCGTCATTTACGAGATTTAGCAGCTGATGTTCATGGGATTGTTCAGCAGTGGAATGATAATACTCTTGAAGGAATTAATATTTTAAAATCTATAATACAAGAAAAGTCCAATAAAAATTATACCATTCGATTACAAGATTACTGTGACAGCTTAGAGGAAATTTGTCATACCTTGGTATATTGTGTTTAATTATTTGTAGAATATATGTATATATATATATATATAATGTTATTATGTATTATATATATATATAATGTGTTTATGTGTGTGTGTATCTATATATATGGTATTAATTATCATATATGTTTTATATGTTATAGAGTAATCTAGTAAAGACTTTGGAACAAATAGCACATCAGATAAATGTTCTAATAATATTGGATAAAACTGCAATAAAGTTATTTACAACTTGGCCGATATCAGCGTTTGGTATAACTATAACTTCTAGATATTTTCTTACAGTATACAATATTTATCAGCATTAAATATCTTGTAGGACGTACAGTGGAAGTAATATATACTACTTATAATAACGAAATGCAAATAAAATACAAAGTTCTTGAAAATATTGCTCATTGTCACACAGAGCCACAAAAGATGTTATATCTTTCTGCATGGTTACATCAACCTTTGTTACCTAAAAACGTAACAATATTATTAGAAGCAATGCTCACAGAAACTGGACATAGATAACTATAAATAATATATACATGACTAGTAAGTATGCTATATTTTTACTGCACGATATTAAATTTCCATTAATTTTTCAATTTGAAATAGGGATTATACATATAATAACAATAGACAAGAAAAAAAGATGTTCCTTTATTTTCTCTTTTTTTCCTTTTTATATAGATATATTCGCATAACTTTTATAACACAATTAAGAACATATTACTTATATAAATAACTGATACCTGAGATCATGACAAATCGATATAAGTAAAATTATAAATTAATGGATATGTTACTAACCTTTGCTAATGCACTTAAACAAAGTGAATCTATCTTAACAAAGTGACTTCACATCCTTATTTTGAAAGTTTGGAAATAAAATTATTTTTATTCTCAAATATAGTCAAAAAAATATTGATTCATTTTTTCAAAGAATATTTAAATCAAATATGGTTTCAAAAATAACTTTTAAAATATTGATGTAACGACGAAACACTTTATATATAATATATATATATATATATATATATATATATATATATATATATATATACACATATACAATATAATATATATATGTAAATATATATATAAGAGGAAGAAGTATGAATCTTACGCATAAATATTTAAGCATTTTTCTATATCATAGCATTAGTTAGAATCACACATAATTACATATACATCTCATGACTTATTGTAAATATTTTGCTTCATATCTAAAAAAAATTTTAAATACATATTTACAGATAAATACATAGAGAATTATTTTACGCAGTAATAGGAAAAGAGGATAAAATCTCCTTTGCTTGAAAATGTCCACATTGTCTTCTATATTTTTTAATGTAATTTATTAAAAATTGCTTATCATATTATCATTATTATATTTAGATATTTATATATTTTTAATTGAAAAATAAAACTATTATTTGTGATGAAAGAATTATTGGTGAAATATATAACTTCCTCATTAGATATATACAATTTAGTTAAATGCATTAGAAAATTACATGTATTTAACAATACGTATGACCATTTTATAACTGCAAAAATTTATAATAAAGAATAATATGAAAAGATAATATTAAGATTAATGCAAAAAGATCAAACAACACAAAAATATTAAAATAATTAATATTATATTAAAATAAAAATTAAATTTTAACACAAGTCCAATTATATATGAAAATCTTATTGCTTGCACGAAAATGAAATGTTCATCTTAATTAATTTATTCTCCTGTTCTTTTTTCTTTTCGTTGAAGAAATTTTTCTTCACTAATATTGCTAAAATAGTAGTTGAACTATTATTGACAAAATTCAAAGCTATTAGACAGTCATCAATTTTAAAACTTTTGTCTAATAGCAACATTTTGTATACATTTTATAATCCAAAAGATAACTTTTGGATGTGTATTTTTTTAATGTACAGGAAAATATTTTTTTTCTTTTTTTTTTTTTTCTTTTTTCCTTTTTTCTTCTTTTTTTTTCTTTATAACTATGTATATCTAAGTATTATATTTACATATACATTAAACTGAATGATATTGTACATTTTTACAATTGCCTATAGCAAAAGAAACATACGAATGATCTAAAAAAATGTTATGTTCTATTTTGAACTAATGCAAATTCATACATAAAGTTTATAGAAAAGAAACGTGTAGCAATCATCAAAAATACATTCGTTTCATATACAAATTCAAATAATTGTACTGTATGTCTAATATTACTATACACTGTACAAATAACTTTATTTAGTATAATACCATCATTCACGCGATGGTCTAAAAATCAACTTCTAGCATTTCTATTAAATTCTTCGCTCAATGCTTCAAAATCAAGATCTGTATCTAAATTTGTATTATTTGGTATGATATTACCCTCTAAAATATTATCAGGCATAATATTTTTTAATCGTTCCGATACTAACTCATCGACCAAGTTTGTTTGATCTACCAAGTGTAATTGTTCAACTAACTTTTCGTCAATTAAAAGATTTTTGTCTATCACACTACTACTATTTAAAATATCTAAATGCGTAATATGATCGTATTGAGCTACTTTTGACATATCCAAATTTTCTGTACTATCAAATATATTAGTATCACAATTATTAGAAATAATTGGTACTGTATCTTGTAACACGGATATACTGTCTGAAGCTTTACAAATTGAAGCTGCAGGTAATATTTTACATGGACTTGTATCTAATGTAGAACTTTGGACTTTACCACAATTTAAATTTGAGGTACTCATAGGTACTATTTTAGAAACCAATTTTTGAAAACCTTTAGCAAAGCTCTGAGAGCCATCTTCTATATTATTCAAGTCACTTTGAATTTTATCCAAACTTTGAATACTTTGCTTTTCGTACGACCCCAAAGTGCCATTTTCAAGCTTCACCAAATCTTGCTCCACAGGTCCTAATTTTATAAAGGCTTTATCTATATGTTCCAATTTCGATTGATCGTAATTACTTTCTACTTTGGCAAAAATTTCACAATTACTGGATGGTCCTAAATTATCGGTTAATTTAGTAAAATTATCTTTATGAGATTCTGAAGTTTGGAATTTTGGAACTTTAGTTGTATTAATATCGATTTTTTGAAATCCTGGATTCTCCGAAATTTGATTTTGAATTTCAGGACTTGAAATTAAAAGTTTAGAAACATTATTAGCCTTATTGCTATCAACATTATTGATAGAAGTAGGATTTCTTCTCATTAATGTTAAGGCCGATAATACTTCTGGACACGTCGGGTTTGATGCCGAATCAGTTCTCCTTTCACTAAGAAAATCTGATATACTAAGATCTGAACTCTCTGAAAATCCACTAGACATCCTTTCTTCATTGTTTTCTTTACATTCTTCAGAATTGACTGTTTTTCGTAGCTTAACTGGTGGTTCCTCGTTTATGTAAATGTTCGAAGTTTCTTCGTCGTAACTCTTTAATGCGTCATTATTGATTTTATATAATCCAGGATTAACACCCAAGGCATCACAAAGCAATTCTTCGTTAATATCTACTAAATCTTTGTCCGATCCTTTATCAGTATTTGCTAAAGATAACATTTCGCCAACTTTCTCTCTTATTTTATCCATCAATTGTTTTACCTCTTGTAAAAAATTTCTAACATTGTTTTCAGATTTTAAAACTAGTAACTCATATAGAGATTGTGCATTAAGTACCGGCTTTGCGGCTATTTTTATTATTTCAGTATCTTCACATACCGAAATTGCTTCTCTTAGCTTAACTTTACGCCGTTCTGATTTAGCTTCAGGTGTAACATAAGCCCATGGCCCCCTTTTTTTCCCCTTACGTTTTAAGGGATCTTGATTAACATTTTGTTTAAGTTCAGGATCAGGTGTAGGCGGTGGTAGTTGTTCAGGACTACCATGATCAGGATGCATTTCAAAATGCCTTGCCATACGTGTTCTTCCCAGATATATTTTGTTACATGTAGGACATCTGAAATGATCTGATATTTTTCTCTTTGGTACTTCCAATCCTGTTAAAAGTTCTTTAGGTGACTCCTCATCTTCAATTTTGTCATTGTTTGTATTATAGTCACTGTAGCCGCCATCCGAATCATCCAAGTCTGGTTGTAAAAAATCTGAATGGTGTAAATGTTTGTAATCTCGTACCATATGTCTCGGTGGTCTTGAAAGTCTACCAGAACGTGTTCTGGCTATAACTTTTTTTCTATCATCCTGTAATGAGTTCGAATAAAGAAAAGGTATAATCATTTTTATAGCTTATACATATTTTATTCTTTCAAAAAAAAAAAAAAAAAAAAAAAAAAAGAAAAAAAAAGGAAAGAAAAAAAGAAAAAAAGAAAAAAAGAAAAAAGAAAAAAAGAAACCTTTAATTCTACTTGTTCTTCCTCAGGAACCGTTGCTGTTTTCGATGGGATCAGAGAGGGCCTAATAGTATTCTTTTTTGGTCGGCCTCGTTTACCACCACGATTTTTTATTAAGGTTCCAGGATTTTTCAATCTTAAATCTAATTCTTCTGGAAACACTACCCTGTATAAAAATGCACAAGTTTTAATTAATTTGTAAAAACATTTAAATAGTTTTTTTCTCGCTGCTCACTACTACTACTTATCCTTATTGATATAACTGACCTATAGACGATTCTCTCATTAGACATATTTGTTTCTTGGCTGCGTTGTTGCAATACATGAGCGATTTGTTTCAACTGAGTTGGTGAAAGCCGTTGTATGCTAAAATAAAATGTAAAAATAGAGAAATATAGATATTTTCTAAACGAACTTTTAAATATATGTGCGTGCACGCGTACACATGTAATTAGAACAATTATATGACTAACATGTACATATCTTATACCTTCAATCCTTTAAGATAAGATTAATTTTTTAACAATACCTGTGAAAATGATGACCTTGTTGTACTATTTGTATAGGATTTTCACTGGATCCCAATGGTTTAGATGTATCTGCTGTTTCTGAGACAACTGTTGTAGATCTTGTTGTAGGTATCCCTTTAGATTTTTTATTTATCTTAAGACATGCTCCATTTATGGATGAATTAATCTTTTGCTTAAAAATACCATTTTGAACAGATTTTGTTTTGTCCGATGAACCATTCTGTTGTAGAACTGGTGTCGTTTGTGACAAATTTGGTATGTTGGTAGTCAAATTACTAGTATTTAATGTAACAGTTTGATTTTGTTTAGTATAATTATGAAAAGCCACTTTAGTCTGTGGTTTCAAGATAGATATAGGTGTTGATGAGGTTTGTGTTGGTTTTAATATAGAAGTTGAATTAGTCATCGTTGTTTTGGAATCTTGCGTTTTAACGATCGATGCAGTTCTAAAAATAACTGGAGAATTTGTCTGCGTTATAATTTTTGTCATTGGCGTTACTAAACTCTTTTTCCCTATTACAGATGATGATGACGCCTTAATTATTTGTGTAGGAACTTGAACTGGCTTAAGTTCTGTAGACATCGCTGGACTTATATTTGTATTATTAATAAGTTGAGCAGTTTTTGGTACTGTTTTAGTTATAGTAGTAGCACTCTTTAACATAGGCGTTAGAAGCTGAGATATATTACTTTTTTGTAACGATGATTGCGTAGTTTTTATCGCAGGTGATATTCTTATTTGTGAAGTAGCTATATTTTGTGGTAATACAGGTGTGCTATTTACCACAGTATTGCCGATCTGAGGAGTGTTTGTATGATTTCCAATTTCGCAGCTTCCTGTTATAATGTGAGATGTATTTAATAACTGTGCCGATACATTATTTGTGTTCAAAAGTTGAGCCGTAATAGGGGTTGCTTTTATTATTTGCGGTGATAATGTATTGATCACCGCCGCTTTTGAAAGTAACACAGAATTAGAACTTGAATTCATGTTAATCGATTGCATTCCATTGATGGAATTTAAATTAGTATTTGTAAGTTTATTAATGTTTTGTATTAATTTAACATTTTTGGC